TCATGTTTTTTTTTTGGTTCTATACAGAACCATTTTCAAAAAGTATGTCTATAGAACCATATACAACACATTCTCCAACAATCTGAAGAATCATCTGAAGAAATTTCACCAAGCAAAGAACCATTTAAGCATGAAATGGTTCTATATAGAACCATGAGTTCTGTATACAGTCATGAGTAGAACTCATAAAACCATCAGTCCTATATAGAACCATTTCACCATGCAAATAACCATTTAAGCATGAAACGGTTCTATAGAGAGCTCATGGTTCTAAATAGAACCGTTCCATTCACAAAAGACTTCTTGAAGAACCATTTTTTATACTATACTATATACTATAAAATGGCAATTACACTGAAATTTTACAATAAGGAATCACAGCGAATTTTGCTACTGATGAAAAAATTGCTGAAATATAATAATAAATTATTGCAACATTAACCTCCACAAATAAATACATTTGTCCACAATTCCCATCAGTATTAACTACATGAACAAATGAATAATACTCTCAGTATAGGGCTGTGTGAATCGATGAATTTGCAAAAAGTACATTCAATTCAAATTAAAGATTAAATGAAATGGTAATGTAGCATTAATCAATATTTACCTTTACATTAACTACCACAAAACTTTTATTGCGCATAGTCTTTTTATTTATCTCATAAACACTCTATTTACTGCCAATGAACGTATTTATTTACTGTTCAAGCATGTTAGGCATATATACCAACTTCATAGTAACTGTTTAATCCCGGTATTAATCATATTAATTAGAATTTATACTTTATCATGTTTCAGTGACAGCATTGCATTTTGAGTTGCATCAATGCCGTCAAGTTTTCTCGAGGAGCAAGTCGCAAAATAAAATAAAGTTTTATGCAAATTTGCCTGGAAACAGAGGCATATCCACTTTAACGTACAATAAAACTTGATTATAGGCTTTAGTGGATAAAATGGATGTATAGAAGCTGCCTGGGCCTTTGTATGCTCTCAGAATGGGATCAATCAGGATGCAATATATGAAAGGATTTCAGTAAGATAGAATTTTCAAAACTGAATTGTTTGGATGGATGAAAAAAGTTTAAGGATATGGTGGAAGATCACATCTTAAAGAGACTTCCTGACCACTGGTGGAGTATGGAATGGCCAAACACTGATCTTAGAACAATCCACTCAAAAATCTGATTAAATGCTTCAGTGCAATGTTTTGATGAGAACAGGAAGAATCCAATAAATATTTGAATAAATATTTTCATGGCAGTGACCCAGTTACCCTCCACATGACCCATAAATCTATTCTGTACTGGATTTGTATCTGATTTAAACATTTTCTGGACAGATTGTGTGGGGCATTCCTATATTAAATATAATCTAAATTAGTCTATGGATACTGTGATGAATAGAACATAGTGATCCTATTTTATTAAGAAGATTTTGGAAAGCCATTATAGTTTATAGACATGAAGATTGTTGACAAATTGAAGCACCTACCTTGTATGTTCACTCACTGGCCACTTTATTTGAAACACCTACCTTGTGTGTTCACTCACTGGACACTTCATTATAAACACCTATGTTGTATTCCCACTTACTGGCCACTTTATTAGAAACACCCACCTTGTACTTCCACTCACTGGCCATATTATTAGATGCACTTACTTACCTTCTATGTTCACTGACTGGCCACTTTATTAGAAACACCTACCTTGAGTGTTCACTCACTGGCCACTTCATTAGAAACATCTCTCTTATTAGAAACATCTATCTTGTACTCCCACTTACTGGCCACATTATTAGAAACACATACCTTGTTGTTCCACTGACTGGCCACTTTATTAGAAACACCTACCCTATACTTCCACCCACTGGCCACTTTATTAAAAACACCTACCTAAAACCATCTATCTTGTATGTTCACTCACTGGCCACTTTATTAGAATCACATACCTTGTTCTTCCACTGACTGGCCAATTTATTAGAAACACCTACCTTCTACTCACTACCCAAAAATATCTAGCCAAGAGCAGCTCTGTGGTCAGAAACTGAGCATTGATGAAGGGCTAGAGGATGGGTAACAAAAACTGTGCATCAACAGATGAGCTCCAGTCTCCACCAGCAATATAGACCTATAGAAGATTTCTGAGAAAGTGGCCATTGTACGTTTATAGATGAAATGAGCAGTATTTCATGGAACAGATCAATAGAGCCCTTATATACAACATATCCACAAAAATACAGTGTGAGTCAGTCATTACTGTGACACACAATAGTTGAAGACAGTGAAGGACCATCATTGACTCCTCAATAGCTCTCCAGCAGGCAGGTACTCTCAGAAGGGTTCAGGCATGTACATAAAAAGTATAAACACACTGCACAGTGTCAGATTACATCCTGAGTAGAGCATCCTGAAGATGTTTTTTATTGCTGAGAAGGATGTGTTTGAGTCCCCTTGTCTGTGCTGAAGTACAATACTCCAATACAATATAACTCAGTCTATAAAATTGCAGTTTCACAGAAAATCGATGTCGTTTCACAGAAAGTCATTATCCTGCATTGCTTTCAGTATTTTATCATGAAAAATGCTGTTATTGGTAATACAGACACTGATACATATTGAAAAAGAAATTTATTAATAAATGTATTACCAAATATTTGACTGTTGAATCAAGACTTCCTGAATTTCTTAAGAAAAAAAAATGTGATTTTTTTTTTTCCCTTAATTTCACACTTCAGAAATAAGAAATGTAAAATCAGATTAAATGTAAAATCTTAAGAATTCTCTTGGATTTAAAAAAAAAAATTCAAGCATTCTGTTCTGTGGTATACTTCAAGATATTTTTACCCATATGATAGTCTTTCACTTGTCTTAGACTGAGAGATTTTACAGGTAAACCTCTTAAACTGTAACTTCTAATGAGCATCACTAAACATAAAAGTTAAACATTTTTTTCCTATTGGCTATTTCTTCCACCATCACAAAAACATTTTCTTAAAAGATCTAAATGTTAATTTTGATTTTCTTGTTTTTCCTCCGCTTTGCTGACCTTAAGCGCTGACAGAGCAGATTAAAGAGAAAAGCCAGCTCATAAAAATAATGTAATTGAATTCAGAATTTGTCTTGAGTCAATTAGGGTGAGCTATAAGATTATTTTGAAGAAACAGAAAATAATTAACATTTTCTTAAGACATTATTTAAGGACACGAAATACATTTAATAAAAATGGGACTCACAATATCTTCCTAAATTTTTTCTTAAATTTGTTCTTGAGAAAGGCCCTAAGAAAAAGCATATGTCGGATTCATGATGTGTTCTTAAACTGCAGAACCGTGAACACTTTTGTGCTCTTGAGTGTGTAGATTCTGTTCTTATCTAAGGTTTTGTTCTTCGTGAAAGTGGGTTTTAAGAAGAAATTTCTTCTTAGGAATGGTTGGTGAATGAGGCCCATCCTTCTGAATGTCCCTACAAACCTCAATTCCAAAAAAGTGAATGCAAATAAAATTAAAACAGTTATTTGTAAAACCACTTTGACATATATTTAAACAAAAGCAGTACAAAGAGAAGATGTTTGGTGTTTTATCTCATTAACTGAGGCCTGCAACATGTTCCAAAGGGTTGAGAGAGGGCCAATTTAAGACCAGGAACATGTTCAAAAAACATCTTAAAAAGATGATGCAGTAATGTTTGGGTATAAATGGAGCATCCAGGAAAGGCCTAGTCCATAATGAGCAAGGATGGGACAAGGCTAACCACTAACCGCCAAAGAATGCAGTGAATAATCCAACTGTTTGAAAATAACATTTTTCGATGAGTGTTTATAAGGATTTAAGGTACTTCACCCTCTACAGCGCACAATGTTATGGAAGGATTTAGGGAATTATGGGAAAGTTCTGCACAGCCAAAAAAATAGCTGAATGCCCATGACCTTTGACACCCTCAGATGGTACTGCATTAAAATCCGGCATGCTTCTGTGATGGATATCACCACATGGGCATATTCCCACAGGAATACTTTGACAAACTGTTGTCATAAACACCATTCATCACTCTGCAAATCCAAGACTATACTATACATGGTGGAAGTCATGTCAACAACGTTCAGAAACACTGCCGATTTCTCTGGGCTCTGGCTCATCCGAAATGGACTGATGCTCAGTGGAAATGTGTATTGTGGTTCGATAAGTCAACCTTTCAGATTTTCTCTGGGCCAAAGAAGAAAAGACCATCCAAAAAAAGTTAAACCCAGCATCTGTCATGGTATGGGGAGGTATTAGTGGGTAACCTGCACAATTGTGAAGGCACCATTAACACTGAAAGATGTATATGTTTTTAAGGGATGTCTATGTTTATTTTAACATGACAACACCAAGAAACATTATGCATATGTTACAACAGCATGGCTGCTTAATCAGAGAGGGTGGGTGCTAGACTAGCCAAAAACAAAGGTGCTGTGTGGTTACACAGCTGAAGTCTTGTATAAAGGAAAAATGGCAAAAATTCTGCTTTCAGAACTGGATCAATTAATGATGATGTAACACTGTTGCAGGCATCTAAGGAAGATTTAATCTTGAACCCTTATGTCGAATCACAGCTCTTAGTGAGAGAAGCAAAACATTTGAAGGGAGTATGTACTATCAAATATTGTGTTTTTGTACTGTATTCAGTTTAATACAGGTCAAACAGAATTATTTATTAATCACTGCTTTCCTTTTTTATTAGCATACCGTACATAACTTTTTTGGAATTGGGTCCGTAGTTTACCTTGAGATGCATTGTCTGTAAGTTATAAGGAAAGCTTTTGTGAATTCAGACCCTTGATTTTGATGTGTTGCCTCAAAAGACCCAAAGTTTATTTTAAAAAGGCAATATGTTTTGGATGTTTTTGGAGGAACTTTTTTTTTTATTTTGTTGTATGGCTATTGTACTTTTGTCAGTTGAATGGCTTATGTATACTTGATGTTGATAATGATAATGTATTAACTGTATCCCCCCCCCACAGGAACATGTTTCCAGCCAATCTGGTTCAAGCCACCTTTCAGCAGGTAAGACATTTTGGCTTTGAGTTTTGAATGCTTTTACTTCAATAACTGTCATAACTTCCATTCATGTATAATTTCACCTTTGACTGGCAGAGGCCTTGAAGCTGCTAAGAAACATTTTTGAGAGCAAGACAAAATACAATTTTTGTACTAAAGTAAGGTCTTTTTCTTTGTGGTTTGAATCCTAAATTCTTGTTCGCTACATCTCATTCAGGTGCAGTCAGGTACACTGATGAAAGTGCTTCCTCACTCAGCAGCTGCCCCAAATTCACAATAACCCTTTAAAAGTACACATAAAAGAGTGGAGAAATAGTCCTTGCATTTCTGTGCAGGAATAGATCAGACACTGCCTTGCAACCAGCTTATAAAAAGTGCTGGCAATTCAACTGTAAATTTGACTATCAAATTGATAATCATTAACCACAGTCAAATTTGATTATTCAAATGTAGTTAAAAAGCTATAAAAACTCCACTTCTCTGCCTGATCTGCACATTTGACACCTCACAGTGACTGTAACCATAGAGACATAAGTAACCCACGGCAGAAGGCCTTTTCTTTTTTTTTTTTTTCATTTCTTTGTGATTGATTACTTTATGACACAGGTCAGACTTTGATTCAATGCAAGATATTGTATTATGGAGAGAACTCGTTCAACCGGTAATGACTATGGTCAATGCGCTGAAGCTGAATTTAGTTTTTTCTTTGAATTAATACTCATTCTGTCAACCCCTGGCCTTGTTTTTCCTTTTTCTCTTTTCCTTTTTTTCTATTTTTATATTGCCTCCGGTCCCACAGTGAGGCCATTTTAATTTGCCTTATGTTCAACCCGGATGGCCGAGCTGCCGAGCGGAGGCGGTGACAGCAAGCTCTCGTTCCCTCTCCGCTCAGGTGCTCAGGTGAGCGCTTTTAAAAAGAGCAGAGAGGGAACAGAGAGAGAGAGACAATCTGTCCTCCTCCCGCCGTCACTCGCATCCCTCGGCAGTGTTCAGGATTTGCACATCGTCCTTCACTCACTTGCGGTTCTCTCCCCGCCATCCTGCCGGCTCTCGCGGCCATCATCAGGGCCCAGGGGGAGGGTGCATGCCACTGAGCTTTTATGACATCCCATTCTAAATCCATAGGCAGTTTCCACTCTTCTGGGAAGCTTTCTACAAGATTTGGGGTGTGTCGGTGGGAATTATTGCCCATTCATCCAGAAGAGCATTTGTGAGGTCAGATACTGATATTGGACGACTCGCAATCTCCGTTTTAGCTCATCCTAAAGGTGTTCGATGGGGTTGAGTTCAGGGTTCTGTGAGGGTCAGTCAAGTTCTTCCACACCAAACTCACCCAGCCATGACTTTATGGACCTTGCTTGCTTGCTTTGACCTGGGGCTCAGTCATGCTGGAACAGAAAAGAGACCCAAACTGTTCACACAAAGTTGGAAGTGTACAGTTGTCCAAAATGTCTTTAAAGATTATCTTTTAAGATTTGCCTTCACTGGAACTAAAGGTCCTAGGCCAACCCCTGAAAAACAACCCCATATCATCATCCCTCCTCCACCAAACATTACATTTGGCATAATGCAGTCAGGCAGGTAACGTTCACCTGGCATTCGTCAAACCCAGACTCATCCATCAGACTGACAGATAGAGAAGTGTAATTCGTTACTCCACAGAATGCGTTTCCACTGCTCCAGAGTCCAGTAGCGTGCTTTACACCACTCAACTGATGCTTGGCCTTGTGCTTGGTCATGTAAGGCTTGCATGCAGCTGCTTGGCCATGGAAGCCGATGCCATGAAGCTCCTGGCGCTCAGTTTTTGTGATGATGTTGATGCCAGAGGAGGTTTGGAACTCTGCAGTTACTGAGTCAGCAGAGCGTTGGCGCCTTTTATGCACTGTGCACCTCAGCACTCTGCAACCCGCTCTGTGACTTTACATAGTCTGACACTTCGTGGCATGTTGGAATTGCTGTGGTTCCTAATTTCAACGATACCACTCACAGTTGATCGTGAAATATCTAGGAGGGAAGAAATTTTGTGAACTGACTTGTAACAGTGGCATCCTATTACAGCACCATACTTGAATTCAGTGAGCTCTTTAGAACAACCCATTCTTTAACAAATGTCTGTAAAGGCAGACTGCATGGCTAGGTGCCTGATTTTATACACCTGAGACTGAATGAAACACCTAAAATCAGTGATTAAGAGGTGTGTCAAAATTTGCCCATGTAGCGTAGGTTCCAACACGTTGTGCATGGAACTCCACTGAATACCAACGTTACTTAACCCCTTACAATCCCAGGCTACTACAGAGATCAATGCAAGCTATTCTTAGGTTATAGAAGTGTGTAATAAAATGTAAAGGCTTAATAATGAGGTTGTGACAACTTTTTGACAACCTTGTTGAGACAATGTAAACAGTACCACCTATTGTGTTGTGACAATGCTGGAGGTTTGCTGGGTATTGTGGTAAATGTGTTTATGACTAACGCAAGTAGGCCTTTATGTAGCTCGCCAGGAAAGTCTTTGGTTAAACTTGGGTATAATACTATCTTGAAAAGGCCTGAAACTTTGCTAAAATTTATTTTGTCGGAATTTAACAATGAGACATTTGGTGTCTACGTCTCCCCAAAAATTCGGCATCTAGTTTTTTTTACCAATCATGATGAAATTTAAGAGTCCATGATGCACTTAATCATTTCCTAAAGAAACAATCCAAATAGTGTGGCTGAGAATTCACAATGCACTGAATCTTTTCCTAAAGAATCAAATCAAATAGTGAACAAACTGCTTACAGAATGCAATCAAATTGAATCATGATGCAGTTTGAGTTAATGATTTAAATTGAGTCATAACAAAATTTGAAAATTAATGATGCATTGATTCATTTCTTACAGTGATGGTTTAATACAAGCTCTCATGATGCACTGAATCATTTTCTAATGAATGGTATTTGAATCATGATGAGGTCAGAGGTTTCCACAGCTGGTATATTTGTAATGAATGAATTCAGTAACCTGTGTTCATCCGCTTCTCTTCCTCAGTACCGCACCAACAGTGTCCCCATCATGAAGACACCCAAGACCACGGTCAGCAGCCTGACAGAGACAACCACACGCCGGCCTCTCATCTATGATGTACAGGACGATAATGGCTCTGATGTCCAGAACTTCCAGCTGGACCTGACGCCTCCACCGGACGTGGTGTTCCGCACGCTGCCCGGTACCAGCGAAGGCATGAACGTACTGGGCATCGTCATCTTCTCCGCTACAATGGGTGAGACATAAATATCCTCTGTCACTCAACTGTATTAGGAAAAAGACTGACCAGACAGTAAATACTTGAGTAATAGCACTGAAGCGGACATTAACTTAAAGGGGCATTCTGGCCTAAAATTACATGATAAAAAATACATGATAATGTATGGCATTTGCAGTTGTTCTGAAATTTTCTCCCACCTTCAAGATGCATCATCAGATAGCCTTTAAACCAGAAAATCTCACTGTATGCCCAGGGCTCGGCAACATGTGGCTCTTTTACTGTCCTGTTGTGACTCCACAGCAGAATTAGATCTGTAGGTAAAAATAAAATAATCCTCCTTTGCACTAAAATAAAGCTCTGCTGATCGTTCAACACAGTTTAACAGTAAATGGTCTTAAATGCTGGAGTTAATGTAGAACTGCTATTTCACCCTTTAGCCCTGAGGGTTGGCGCGTAGACTGCTGGTCACTATAGCAACACACACAGCAATCTCGCCTAGCTAGTAGCTAACAAAACAGCAAAGAGAAAGATTTAAGACGGATCAATAATAATCAATAATCAATAATCAATCAATAATTTGGAGACAAATTGACTTATTTGCGTTTATAATCACTCCAGCTGGTTTCCATCTGCAATGAGAAACTGACGATCGCTAAAGCTGAAGTCAGTTTCTCATTCACCAGCTTCTTGTTCAGAATTTCCCATTCCACCTTCATCAAGGTTCAGCATTCCAGGCATCAATTAAGGTGGAATGGGAAAATTCGAGCAAGAAGCTGGTGAAGAAGAAGCTGACTTCAGCCCTTGTAAAAAAAAGTCGAACATTGAGATACATTTTATGAGAAACTGTTCTGCTTTTGCAGAAAAGTTTCCTGCTGGAGATACAAGAAAAGTGGCTATAGCTGTGCTAAAGCAGAGCAACATAAGTCTGCATTTTCGTGTATATTTTAGGACATTAGCACACACTAAGACTTAATTACAGCCAAGATGGTAAAATGGACATATAATGTAGCTCCCAAGGTAGTTTGGTTTTTGTTGAAAGGACAAAATGGCTCTTCTGACCATTTGGGTTGCTGACTACTGGTATAGACCATGGTGGCACAGCTGTAGGATGTTAGTAGGCATGTTTACAACAAATTTAAGTTTCTCATTTTGACTAGAGTGCTAGTTTAATGAAGCTTAAGTTAAAAAACTGGACTAACATCAGTTTTGTGTTCAGGCATTATGCTGGGTAGGATGGGGCCTAACGGCAGCGCACTGGTCAACTTCTGCCAGAGTCTGAACGAGGCCGTGCTGAAAATAGTGGCCATAGTCATCTGGTGAGTCTTTCATCCATGCCATGTTCATGTCTGCCACTATACATGGAGATGAACACCTTACCATAACCACATCATTTCAACACAAACTTTAACGACCTTCCTAATCCTCACTAAACTCCTTAGAGGATTCACAGCCAGGTTAGATTAAAACTATGTAGTATCTCCTGCAGTTTCTTACTGACCAAATCACTTAAACTGCAGGCTTATTAATCTCCATACAGTCCATATAAGGAAATCAAGCTGCAAAAACAGCTTAATTTGTTGTTTGTGTGATGTCACAAAGTCAACACGTATACATACAACTACTCTTTCAGCCTAAAGCGGCTTTGTCCCGTCCATCCACACTGAAGCCATAAGGAGTGTTTCAGCCCCAAATGCTTTTTCTATACAACAAAAAAGCTTGTTTAGTTCTAAGATGTATTGCAAAATAGTTGTGTAAAAACAAATTTTGATTGTTTTTGGTATATAACACCACATTTAAGTTATAACATTATCAAAAGGCTAAGCTAATAAAATGTCCAGACGGAACCTGTTGAGGAAAACAATGTGAAAGCTTCTTCAGTTCAGGTTGCTATTGTTCAGGGCTACATTTACAATGGAAAAAGAGAGCATCCTGTTTGTGCTGGATCAGGTATTTCCCTTTCGGAATCGTGTTCCTGGTGGCGGGAAAGATCCTAGAGATGAGCGACCCATCAGACATGGGAAAGAAGCTGGGCTTTTACGCCATCACCGTGGTGATGGGCCTCATCCTCCATGGCCTCTTCATCCTGCCCCAGTATGTACTTCTTCATCACCAAGAAGAGCCCCATCGTCTACATCAGAGGGATCCTGCAGGCCCTGCTTATCTCCTTGGCAACCTCTTCCAGGTAACACTGATACTCAGGGCCTGTCAAAAGTTTGAGGACACTTTGCCTTCACTAAATTGATGCAATTCAAATGAGTTTATCATTTCCAAAAGAAAAAAATATCAAATGCATAAATACTACTATTACTACTGGAAAACATTCTGGTTCAGTTGACTTTCATTAAATGTAAAGTACGTTTTTGGCTTTTCCTGTAAAGTTACCATTTCAGAGAAAATATACTTTGGAAAAAATAATCTTAAGTTTTGTGTTTTTTCATGTGGAAATGATGAATTTCACAATTCATCATTCATGAATTATATAATTTAAAATATTATGCATCTCTTTAGTTGCATAAAAATTCATAATCATTATAAATAACTACTTAGCAGTTGTCTTCTCCTGTTTTAAATGATTAAGGAGTTACTTACAATCTTGCTACTTTTTCTTAATGCTTAGTTAATCATTGTTAAGTGGTTATTATATACTTTTTACACATTAATAATCTTTAACTGAATCCCTTTATTAAGTTATAACTTTTGCAAATAGACATTGCATTACTTATTATGTCAAATACAGTATGAAAAGCATTTTCAGCGCTAATTATTTGCACTTCAATAAGCCTAAAAATAGCATTTTGGAATTCCTAACAAACTTTTAGATAATGATTGATTTAAATAGCAAATTAGTAAGTTAAATGAATTTGCTATTTACACTGGCCTGGTATAATTTTATAATTTTATAGTGTTGCAGAGTTGTTGTGCTACAGTCATGTGACAATAACAACAAAATATATAATATAATATTTAAATATTTAAATAAAAACACATCAATGTTCAGTATATAATTTAGTCTTAATGATAATAGCAAGCAATAGCAATTGCAATATCAGTAACAATAAAACAGTTCATCTGTAAAGCCAACAACAGACTACAGCTGTCTTATTATTTAATGAATAATAAACAAACAAATAAGCAAACAAAAATGGACTAGCTAACAGTCGCACATAAAACAACAAGCAGTTACACTCAAAAATGACCTTGTTTAAAGTAATGCCTCATACACTAAGACAAGATTGTTGATGTAAAAAGTGTACCAATTTCTTTCTACAGTCTGTGCAAAAGTTTGTGCACCCCTGGTCAAATTTCCATGTTTTTCTAAGTGAAATAAGTTAACACACCTCCGCACATGTTAATGCACAGTCACTGAATTGAACACACTGGGGGGGAATAAAACCTAAAATGTGGCCTGTGCAGAAGTAATGGCATTTTGGAAATAACGCACGACAGCCTGAACCCAGTGACCAGATAGAAATAACGACCCAGCATGAAGTTCATTATAAGAAGTGAAAGCGAAGCCATACAAACCCCAACAAATAAGTTGACCGAGACTGACCTCCTCAGGGTTCAGATACAACTAAATAACGGAATAGCCATGAAACGATTCTTTAAAAATGAATGCAATACGCACCAAAGGCATCTATAAGAACCAAAGGTGAAATGAACTGTCATCCTCCCTGCAGAGCTTCTTTTCTACCTAGTACAAATTCATTTGTGATGTTGCCTTGAAACTTTTTAATCATCGGTTCGTGAGGACAGATTTACAGCGTGACTGAGAGACATTCGACGCAGCTGTAAATGCACTCCACATGCTCACAAGACCGAACATCAATTATGGACTAATGTGTGAGGTTTTTGCTGTAGAAGCAGTAACAAGCTCAATGCCACGTGGTACAGTGATACGACTCCGTGGGAAAACCATGGTAACGTGCTACCTCTCGTGGCTGATTCCTGTAGAACATGACAAAACAAACCAAGATATACATACAATCTTCGAGACTAGTTAAGTCAAGTACAGCAGGGCTCAGAAAGGATTCCAAACGTACAAAAGACAGAGAACACCCTTTTGGTCATTCGATTTCCTGTCAAAACAGGAATCATAGTACAAGCTATTTATTTTTCAGCATGAAAAAACATGTATTTAATCCCTTAAAAGGCCAGAAGCCACCAACAGGCCCAAAGTTTTATTGCACACTTCTATATCCTAAGAATAGCTCAGCCCGTTTCCATCAAAGTCCCTGTAGTTAATAAGCCTTAGCATGTAATAAGCCTGAGATTTTAAGGGGTTAACAGAAAGTTACACAAAAGTCTCAACAATAAAACTATATCAGATCTATCAGTATTTACTGTACACTCCTCACTTTTATCCACCCCAGAACACAACAGAGAGTGCATTACCATGAATAACATCCTGGTCATGAATTAAGCGGTAGTTGAGTGATTGTTTGCTTTTAAACACAACCTCTGAGTTTTGCTTTTATACAACAGTTCTGCAAAATAAAGGAAAAAGTAAAGAAAAGAAGTCCTGAACTTTTTACCAAATGTGCTTAATATTGGCAGTTTCATCCAGCCAAACAAGTAGCATTTTGGATGATATGGGTAAAGTGGGTTTTGCATTGGAAATCCATTGGATAGCTGGCTTTCTCTCCTCGATTTCTCATGAAATGAACATCCAAAATGACCAAACCTACAATTTCCCACACCTGAAAGACATTTAAATTTACATTTACATCATTTAGCAGATGCTCTTATCTCAAGTGACTTACAAAAAGTGCTTTGTCTATCCAGAGAAAGTATCTTCGCTAGTTACCAATAGGTTAGAGGGAAAGCCAGTCCTGAGCTCAGATATTGCTAGAATCAGAAAGTCATTGACACCTAGAGAAAAAGGAACAGAGGTAAACACAGAGCAGTGCTGTACAATACATTACAATCAATACTTAATTCAGTGCTCGAAGCTCAAAGGGCTCGTGGTACAGTTCGAGATTTCACCATTGCCATCAAGTAGGGAGGGGCTGGTCCATTTTTGGCTTTGTAGGCAAGCATAAGGGTTTTAAATCTGATGCATGAAGCTACAGGAAGCCAGTGAAGGGAGCGCAGCAGTGGGGTGCAGTTGCAGAGGCAGACTATAACCAAACCTATTTCAATAAGTCTGTTGCTACTAAATTTGGCTGAACATCATGTTTCAAAAGGCAGAACACTGATGCTTTAGTCATTAAGAGACCGGCTAAACAGTACAAAACATATTTCTTGTGACATGGAAACATATTTCCCATGTAATAGCATATTTTACAAATCAAGCTTAATAGCCACATATTCATTCACCACATATCTTCATCAAGTGGTCCTGGATGCATACATAGAAAGTGGTGGTGCTCAGGCCACAGCAACCCCAGATTTCAGGCATGTTTAACTGAGACTGCAAAAAGTAATGAAAACATAAATAAATAAATAAATAAATAAATAAATGATCAGAAAATGAATATTATCTGAGCCTAGTGAAGACTAATTTTTGGGTAAAGCTTTGTGATAATTACATATAATTATTATTTGAGACATTTATAAGCTCTTACTTTTACATAAGACATTTATTAGCTCTTACTTCATAATTAACTAATCATAAACTAATCTTGTATTTACAGTTATTCATAATTATTCAATATGTTCCCATTACGTTTTAATAGATGCATAAGCTTCTACATCTCTGCATATGTGTATACATTTTTATTTAGATTCTGCTCAGCTTCCCAACTTTTTTTGGAAATTGGGTTCTTTTCTCTTATCTTTTTTTTTAACATAACTAAAAATTGTCAGAATTAAATTGTAAAACTTAAATTGTGTCAGAGTTTAATTATTTGGAAGACATCATTTCTCCATCATCATCCATTAAAAGTTAGAAACGTTTTCCTTCTCCTGTAAAGTTACCTTTTAGGAGATACAAGGCTTTGCTCCAACAGCGGCGATATATAAAGTGGCCAGCGAGTGGTAGAACAAAGTAGGTGTTCTATAATAAAGTGTCCATTAGCATGAATAAAGTTGAAGAGTAGCAAATGTGGCCTCCAACTAAAGAGAAAATAAATGATGATGTTAACTTCTTACATCAAAACCAATTCAAAGTGGCTGATTAATTCTTTAGATGTTGGAGTGAGGTATAGAAGTTGTGCTACTGTAACAATGCTTTCCATTTAATTACTCTAACAAGCCATAGGATTTAATAATGGATTTTACAAGGTTAACCCTTTTTTCTTTTAATAAATGATTTTTCCCCTTGTTCCAGCTCTGCCACGCTGCCTATCACCTTTAAGTGCCTGCTGGAGAACAATCACATCGACCGCCGCATCATCCGCTTCGTATTGCCTGTGGGAGCCACGATCAACATGGATGGAACGGCACTCTATGAGGCTGTAGCGGCCATCTTCATCGCTCAGGTCAACAATTACGAGCTGGACTTTGGCCAGATCATCACTATCAGGTAAAGACTGTGGACACTGAGGTTCCATGATTTTACCCTGAGAGGATTATAGTTACTGTTATTTCGATAAACTTTAATTTAACTGTAATTACTACTTTACTACACAGTTATAGTTATATTGGATATACATTCTGTACCAATGCGTTTGATTTTGGACTTTTAACTGTTTTGGGGTCAACAAATGATTGAAACATGGCACAAATATAAAAGATAACACGTCAAATAAAAATAAAATATCATAATAAAATATCTCCTGCTTATAAACAAAAATGTAAGCACTAACAAACTACTGAAAATGGCAGAAATTAGCATTGTAATAGAGGTGGGTTGTGTTTTGACATTAAAGGCCCGACCTGAAGGCCTAGCTGTAATAGTCAGACCTTCACTGGTGGAAAGTACAGATTCTAAATTTTCCATCCATATCACATTTGTGTTTGCAATGTTCCTCAACTTAAATCATAAATGTGTCAGTTAATAAGTATTAATCATTTTTTACTGGAAATTTTTTTTTTTTTTACTGAACTGTCTTCAAGATGAATATTATCTTGTTCCTATCTTCATGAGGGTAAAGTTCACTATTCTTCGCCAGCCTTTCATCTTAGTGTTCTGTTCCACCTTAAATGGAGTGCAGATGCCAGAAGATAACTGCTGTGCATTTAAGGTGCAACGGCTTCATCCTCTTTTCCATAACATTCTGAGAACAGTATAGTTCATTTTTTTGGTTTTGCATGATTCTTCGTTTACTCTCCGTTAGTTTGGTTTAGCCTAATGCTTGACTTCAAAGCCTTGAGAGTTCAAAACTTTGGACCTGCCTTTAGCTCTTGACTTGGGACTTACATGAACCTGCCTTGCGTTAAACATTATCTTACAAAATACCTAGCACCATTTAACTTAAGTGTTCAACAGTTAATTTTATCTAGTGACTCTTTCAGTAAAAACTCCTGACATAGTTTTTCATTCCTAACAACTAACCAAAATCTGTTTGGACTACGGATCATATTCACAGTCAGTGATGTGTCTAGAACATCCAGAAGGACTAGAGTGATGTTTTTCTCGTGTACTTAGTCCCACTAATGTGACCGGTTGATTCCACTGCCATGTCCTAATTATATCAGTGGTTAATCTGATACATTTGACTTTCAGTCCAGCTCCTGAAGTCCTAACCAATGGGAGAGCTTGCTTGATTTTCTATTGAGCATTTCAAGATTTTAACCCTTTTCCAAACAAAAAAATATATAATTCAATAAGAGCATTGCTCCAATATGTGCAGATTTACAAACATGTTTTTCAGTTCACAGAAATCATTAAGCTTTCTGAAGAGGATTTCCCACTGATTTAATATAGAAATGTTAATATAGAAATTATTTTTATTAGAAAATTGGAGAGGAGAGATAGGTTGAGCATGACTTTCTGATGTCTAAGGTCTAGTCTAAGGTTATCCTTATCCTTGGAGACACTTTCTCTAAAGTAGAATGAAAAGTATCCTCTAAGCATTCGGTCAGAGTATGCCACATAGCCCTCCCTTTCAAAGGGCAGCCATCCCAGGACCTCACAAAGTCCAAGCAGAGTCAATAATGCATGCAACAGCATGCTGTCCCTCACCCCGCCATGGTCTTTCTGCAACAGGGGCCTTGGAACCTCCCCTTTCCCAAACCCCACAAATGCCTCGGCCATGCATGCCCCCAGTCCTCTTATGGGGCTTTCTTGGTGTGCCCCAATGAAAAGACTGAGCACTGCGTCCTGCTCTCCAGGCATGGCTGAACTCCTCATGTGCTGCTCGAGTGCATGGGAGCCCCAGCTCTCTGCCTTGGCAACCACCAACTGAAGGCTAGTTGGTGCAGTGACCTGCACATGCTGTCTCAGCTCCTCTGGCAGTAGCGCATTCAGGGGGCAACCCAGGCATCAAGCCCTCCCACGATGTCTGCTTGAATGCCAGATGCCCACTGAATCATCGCCACGCAGCTCTGCCGCCAGCTAGCCCATCTGTTCCTCAGGAAGCAGACGCCTGGCCAACCATACTGCCGGCACCTGCTTGAAGCATCACCGGAAGGCTGTAGTCAATGCTGCCCTGCCGCCTCCACCCCGGCTGTTTAAATAAGTGCTTTATACATAATTGTAGCCTGTGGGAGTGGCTTCATTAACCCTCTATTGCAAATGTTGCCTCAGGGCAACAAACCCATTTCCCTCACTTTACAATAACATTATCTGTTTTTAAAAACAATGACATGTTTTTAAATCTCTCAGTGGTCACTTTTCAACCTTTTTTTTACCAATCAGTATCATTTATTTATTTTTTTTTATGAGAATTTGCAGAAATATGTTTGTTGCCTAGAAGCAACAATGTGCCACAGTGGAATGGATTTGACCAATCACAAGCCAGGTGTCACCACTTCAGGGAACATGCCTCTATATCATTTCTTCCCATTGTCGCACAATATTGCCTCAAGGCAAAATGACCCCAGCAACCATTATTTAAAAAAAAAAATGTAAAAGTAGGCACAGAGCATCAAAATCATGATCAATAATAATTTCATTTACAACAACAGCCTTAAATTTAAGGGATCTTATGTTCACCATCCCAGTTTTAGACCAGAGGTGCTGCACTGTGAACTGGTTAAACTTATCTGACATTAATTATATTAGTAGGTCAAACTATTTGAGGCTTTCTGAAAGTTTGTTTTATTCAGAGAACAGGAATCAAAATGTGCTTTCAATGTGACACATAATTTCAAACTTACAGCCCAGTTTTGATATTGATGGCCAGAATTACATCTTCCAAACATTTACTGTTTAAATAGTTCTAAACCTGCCATCGTACTCCATCATGAAGGCCCATAGTTAGCATGACATCTATGACGATCGTAAGACATAGTTACATATACTTTAGTCTACATGCACTTCACTGAGCCCACGCAGCAGTGCACTCATTACAGAATGTTTACATGTGAAGTAGGAGTTTGAATAGATGGGGGAGAAGGCAAATGTTCATCATGCACTGAGCGGGCCTCCCACCTACACTCAGCATCAGACTGCTATCAGCCAGTGGCTTTAACAGCAAAACATACAGCGACAGAACAAGCACTTCATCATACTGTATATGGCCTGCTGCTTAAGGCAGACATAGCCTGGAACATGAATGTTCCTGCTAACAGAACCTCCTGCTGGATGACTACTGAGACACATGCATGTAGCAGATCATTACTCAGAGGAGCTGGACTTTAGATTTCTAATAATCACTCCAATTACTGTCCATCATTTTTTTTCCTCCACACGGTAAAAAATAAAAGGTCACCTCAGCTTGAACTCTCAAGTTAACTTATTACACAGCCTTTCTCAAAAGTCCTAGTTCAGTACAGATTTACATTGTGTCTAATAACACATTAACAATACATGCAGCAACAATGTTACTACTATTGATGTATTCACAGTTACAGATGGATGACAGCAGTACAGCCTATGTACTTAATCCAATGTATGTTGACACAGTAGCATCACTTTCCTAACACTTAGCTAGCTGTAGTAGCATGCTTGTGTAGCAGTAGTTGTGTGCCCAACCAAAATTCTGCCGTTAAACCATTCTGTAATGTGACAGTAATGTGACTTTTATAAATATGTAATTACGTTAGTAACATTATGCTGTTTATGCTATCAAATGTGTGCGTAATAACATGAGTGAAAACTGAAATTGATTGTGTATTTGCATAAGCTGTATTACCGTAATCCATCTGTAACAGTTAATACATTGCTAGTAGTTACATTGTAATTGCATATATTGTTAATGTGTAACTACACAGTTATTAGAAACACAATATAAAGTGGGCCCCCAGTTCAGTCTGAAGTTTTTCTAACTCACATTTTTTTAGTTCTGCATCTCAGTTAAATATAACACACACACACACACCCCACTCCAGAGCCCCTAAAGTCACATTTCTTTATTTATTAATAAATTGTAATGTATTTTTATGATTATTATTATGATTATTATTATTATTAGTAGTAGTAGTAGGAGTAGTAAGTACTTAATTAATATTCCTAAAAGAGACTGAAAGACAGTGTAATGATGCTACAACTGGTGTGATATGCGACATGACTTCCCAGAAAACCCTTTTGAAACTTCAGATCAAAGATCAGTTTTTTGGGTTTAATGTCTTCTGAAAGCTTGAGAGTGTTGCTTGGACTTCAAAGCCAAATTTTCAAAGGCTGCACATCTCCCAAAATAAAACCTTCTCGTCTGTATTATGTCTATTTCCTGTCTGGATTTTCAGTGGAGAATCAGTGCTAACGCAGCAGTTTATTACCAAGACAAGGCTTAGTCCATTTCCAGGATGCCAGCCCTGAAAGTGTAGTTTACTTTTAAGCTTTAAGAAAGTGAGAGAAACCCTTCGCTTCAGTATTTGGGAAGCCCTGCTTTTCTCTTGCTGGATTAGATTTGGAGCTGGTTGTTAGTCGAGCCGTAATGGTCTAAAGGCTAATGTTTAAGTGCTAAGCAGCCTGTGTTTATCTCACTGTTGTACTAATCGGTACAGCTTGTGAAGCCGACGTTTCGAATCAAAACATTATTTGGGACCACCTGCTGAACAGAACTTCCAGTCATGGTGTCATTTGTTCTGAGGCCTCCCACTGATTGGTCTGTGATTGGTCCGCATGCTGTTGTATGGTTGAATGTGTCACTGCACAGAGCCTCTAACAGTATATTTACAGCAGCATGTATAGCAGTAGTTTGATTTTCTTTAGCTCTTGTCATTTGAAGTATACTGCTGGTTTACGTTTGGTGAAGTCTTGCTGATGCCTACAACTGACTGAATGTGTAGTATTTAATCTATGTTGATTGACCCTTAGTTGGAAAAAGAAGCCCAACAAGCTTTATTTGAGCAAATAAAGTAATGGAATGCCACTTAAGATGGCATCAGGGGTTAAATGATCCCGAGGTTAAATGAAGAGGCCAACTGGACAAGAGTTGTTAAAAAACCAGGATTGAAATGGGTAGCTAGCCTACTGGT